ATATATATATATATATATATATATATATATATATATATATATATATATATATATATATATATATATATATATATATATATATATAAACCTTTGTTAGTCGTTGTAAGTTCATTGCTTATTTTAGAAACTCATTATAAATCATTACAAAAGTGGTTGACATAGTTTTTTCTAGACGCATGTTTTCAAAGTGCTCGACATATATATGCTGTAGTCTTTGCGTTACTAGGAAGTGGAAGATATAAAAGGAGAGGGTGATACGGTTGATTAGCCAAAGGGTTAAATGCTATATTTTAAGCGAGAGGCTAACATATTTATAATTTATTGGTGTTCGCCATGATTTCCACCACCAATCACATGTGGGTAATATTTAAATGATAATTATGATAGTGATTCCTCGTTGCTCATGTTATTCATACATGTTCATATCTGACCATAGATTAGAAATTATTAGACGCCATCGACCACAACAATCTCAATATCGAATTATATATATATATATATATATATATATATATATATCATATTAAAAAAACATTAATTATAATAACCTATTGTACACAGCACATATAGGCCCTTTTGGTGCCACCTTTTCGACGTCGGTTGTTACTCCATCCTTCTGAACTATTTCTGATATTATAGAATCACAACATAAAACGATCACAAGCATAACCACGTATGCATACGAGAGCAAGGAATTTGATCTGAACCAACTCATCATGGACCCGATTGAACTCGAGTTCGGTCCAACCCGAAGTTGGATGGTGTTGGATTTTGTCTTGGTTCGGATCGAGATCTTGGGTTGGGTTATCTGCTGCTAATTCGAAGTCACGTGCCCAACGAGTGCCGACAGGGAATATAACGGCAAGCAGAGTCCAGCCACGCGGGGATCCACATGGAATGAGGCTCCGCTCGCCCGCCACACTACTACTCTCCAATGCGTTCTCGTCCTCCGCCCCCACCGCCACCCTCGCCGCCCACTTTGGTCGCCACGTCGACACCACCTCCGTCGCTTCATGGAACGCCGCCATCGCCGACCTCGCCCGTGCCGGGGACTTCGTCGACGCCCTTCGCGCCTTCGCATCCCTCCGCCGCCTACGCCTCCGCCCCGACCGTTCCTCCTTTCCCCCGGCCCTCAAGTCCGCCGCCGCCCTCGCTTCGCTCCCCTCCGGCCGACAGCTTCACCTCTTCGCCCTTCGCCTCGGCCTCCTCCCGGACCTATTCGTCGCCTCCTCCCTCGTCGACATGTACGCCAAGTGCCGCGAGCTGTCCGACGCCCGCCGGGCCTTCGACGAGTCCCCCCACCGCAATGCCGTTCTATGGACCGCCATGGTCGCGGGATACGTCTGGAATGACGCTCCCGAGGACGCCATCTTCTTGTTTAAGGACTTCCTTGCTGATGAAGGCGGGGCGGGCATCGACTCCGTGGCGGCTGTGGCAGTGCTCTCTGCATGCTCGAGGGTTTCTGGTAAGAAGGTTGCCGAAGGGATCCACGGGCTCGTGATGAAGGTTGGGTTGGAAATGGATGTGGGAGTGGGGAACACACTGACGGACGCCTATGCTAAAGGAGGAGACTTGAGTTTGGGGCGGAAGGTATTTGAGGGAATGGCCGCAAGAGATGTTGTATCTTGGAATTCAATGATTGCGTTGTATGCTCAAAATGGGCTCTCGGCAGAGGCATTGGAGCTATATACTAAGATGTTGACTAATGGAAGCATTCAACATAATGCTGTGACGCTCTCCGCAGTGCTGCTGGCGTGTGCACATGCAGGAGCATTGCAAATAGGAAAGTGCATTCATAACCAGGTGAGTCTTATGACCTGATAGGTATAATTTCTGCCATTGTTGATGCTCATCTTCTAAAAGGTAAAGAAAAGGGTCTCTTTATGCTACTGTTAGCAAATGTTATTTGGTGATTATATAATTTACATTCTGGTCATCATAATCACTAGCATGAAGGGTAGCTTGAAATATGAATTGTTCAAACCAAAGAAGAATAAATGAAAGGATATTGACAGGATGGTAACAAAGGAAATTTGCTGAAATAGGCTACAACCCTTACTTATAGACAACAACAAACAACAACAAATAGCCATTGAAATCTATTTTGGGTCGGCTACATGAATCTTTTTCGTCATTGAGATCTATAGAGAGTCATATTTTTAGTTAATTAAAAGTATTTATATCTTTATTTATAATTTATAGTAAGGTATTCCTAGGTCTCTCTCTATTTATGTCCATACCATCTTAAACGATTCTTCCTTATTTTATCTATATCGAAACATATTTAGTTGTTCATGAATAAAAAATTTTTTCCTATATTTCCTAATAACTCTGTACATCCACCTCAATATTCTCTTCTCACATCTCAGTAACATAGACCTTTTCTTTAGGCTGAAAAATACATCACCTTATCTATTTGAACTATGGTATGAAAAATACATTACCTTATTATTCCAAAAAAGTGTCACGATGACCTACTTGAAGCGAGATGACCATAGCTTGTGCAAAAATTGTCATTTGTTTTCTTGGGCTCAAGTTCAAAACCTCAATATTCTGGGCATTCAGCTGTTTTGGATCTTCTGTCACTAATTGTTTTACTTCCAAATCCTCTAATCGGTTCAGCTCTGCAAACTGAGTTGGAAACTTTCAGCAAAATTTGAAGTTTTCCTAATGGTATTGTGACAAGTTGATTTATCACCACTTGGCCTGGATGCTCTTGGTAGCATTGATACAATTTAGTTTTCTTGAAACTAAAATGCTACTGTTTCTTCCAAAATAAATTTGAATTTCGTCAATTTATATCATCAGAAAAAATCATACGAATTTTATGGTTTGCCTTAAAATCTGCTGGATATTTTAAGGCAAAATAATCATTCATGTGGACATAATTTATGTAGGGCGTGGGAACATATATGCAAATGTTGTCCTAGTTGAGGCAGGCTTGCAATGCCAGAATGTTCAAAATAGCCTTTCTTTTACTTGAGACCAGTATGTCATGCATCGACAATGTAGGCTTATGGTTTGTATGCTCTTGGATATATAATATTATTATTGCTATGCTAATCATGGCTTCTGTCAGGTGGTCAGGATGGGCTTGGAGAAAGATGTGTATGTGGGCACATCAGTGGTTGACATGTACTGCAAATGTGGGAGAGTGAGGATGGCAAAGAAAGCCTTTGACCGCATGAAGGAAAAGAATATCTTATCATGGTCTGCCATGGTTGCCGGTTATGGCATGCATGGTCACGGACAAGAGGCTCTGAAGGTTTTTCATGAAATGACGAGGTCAGGAGAGAAGCCAAATTACATAACCTTTGTTTCTGTCTTGGCAGCTTGCAGTCATGCAGGGCTTGTGAACGAAGGCAGATATTGGTTGGATGCAATGAAAAGAAAGTTCAATATTGAACCTGGTGTGGAGCATTATGGATGCATGGTAGACCTTCTTGGACGAGCAGGTTGTCTTAATGAAGCTTACAGATTGATCAAGGACATGAAAGTCAAGCCTGATTTTGTCGTCTGGGGTGCCCTTCTTAGTGCATGTAGGATTCATAAGAATGTCGAGCTAGGAGAGATTTCTGCTAGGAAACTGTTTGAGCTGGATCCAAAGAACTGCGGCTACTATGTTTTGCTCTCTAATATTTATGCAGATGCTGGAAGGTGGAATGATGTTCAGAGGCTGAGAGTTATAATTAAGAACAAAGGGCTGGTAAAGCCACCAGGGTATAGTTCAGTGGAATTTAAAGGTAGGGTTCATGTATTTCTAGTTGGGGATAAAAAGCACCCACAACATATAGAGATCTATAATTATTTGGAAAAGCTGAGAGTTAGGATGCTGGAAGCTGGTTATGTCCCAGATACAGGATCAGTTCTCCATGACGTAGATGAAGAAGAAAAAGAAACAGTATTACGTGTTCACAGCGAAAAGCTGGCTCTCGCTTTTGCAATTATTAACACAGCTCCTGGAACGACGATCCACATCATCAAGAATCTTCGGGTTTGTGGTGACTGTCACAGTGCAATCAAGCTGATCACAAAGCTTGTACAACGGGAGATTGTTGTTAGAGACTCTCACCGGTTCCATCATTTCAGAGATGGGTCCTGTTCTTGTGGGGATTATTGGTGACAGTATCTAATTAGAAAATGCATTATGTGCTTCTCCAATTTGTGTTCAAACCACTTCTGCTCAATTAGGAAAAGGTTAATAATGCCGCACTCTGAACAACCAGGGGAAGGAATCAAGCCTTTAAATAAATGTTCAGTTTTTAAACTCTGCTTACTTCAGTGGGTATTCCTGTTGATGCTGCTAAGTGGAGCTAATTTGTTTCTGGTTGCTGAAAGCTGGAATTCTGAATATTCTACATATGTATTCTGCTGACTGGAAGTGGCTCAGATAGCACATGTTCAAGTCAGAACTCGATGAACAGAGGCTGAGATTCTTGATATTCCTGAATGCAAATTCTATTTTATCCTATCCAGCTTCGACTGTAAGGAAAAATGGACTATTTTTTTTTTTTTGTGTAACTTTAGATAGAAATGTGTTTCCTTCATTTATATGAGATGACTAAGCATAGGTGAGGATCAGATTGGTTCTTTGTGTACTCTTACACCCACATTATTTATCAGAGATACGACATTGTTATAATGACTGAATCTGAGGATTTTCACCTCTTAGGTTGTGTCAAAAGAAATAGATATGATTAACTACTAGTTCTATCCCTATCTGCTCTATTGGAGTTATATCAGTGTTAAGCTTCATATTGAGTTTCATGATTTAGCAGATGCCCAGATTAAAAGACCTTTATGCAACAATTGTGTCTCTATCTTAATGCCTAGAATTGGTAATATGGATGGTGATTCAGGGGAGTGTGAAGAGCTCATGGAAGCATGCTTGATGTTTGTCATTTCCAAGTGTACAAGTCCAAGTGTTTGCCGATATCAAGAGATAATCTTAGTTCTGTGATTGTTAGTCGAAAACCATGGATTTACATGTTGCAATTTGTCAAGCCATCTTTCACTGTTGTTTGTGCCTTACTGTATCTAAAAGGGGGACAAAAAAAAAGAAAAAAAGAAGCCCTGCTATATGCAGAATAAAATTACAAAAATATGTAGCATCTGTTGTGAGCATAAATAGAAGTGTCTCAAAATGCAGTTATTATTTGACAGTTTAGTGTCTTTTCTGGAATCTACATTACCAAATAAATCCCTTCATGATTCCTTGCCCTAGTACCAGTCACACCTGCTATCAATCCTTCATCAACACACACCAGCAATCACCAAGAATCAGGATTTTAGTGCTACGGCACATAGATAACTAGATTTGCTCTTGAGCTAAAATCCAAACATGTCCCATCCATTTTGCCACTATATCCATGATAGATAGTGTCATGAGTCAACAGAAGGCCAGACATTAAATGTCTTCATCTTGTCTCGTAGAGAAGTATCGACATCCATAGAGTACAATGCTAGGCATTGTCGTCATTAGTGACAAACTAAGCCTTAAATTGCACCAAGAAGACAAAGGCACATTCTGTTCACTTAGAAGAGGTCTGTCTAATTGGGTTCTGAACAATTAGAAAGAGAGAGTTACGAACCAAAATATATGCCAATATTTCCAGTTAAATCAAGAACACTCAAATCTCTTTTTTTTGTCTTTTACAGCAAATTTTTCGGTCTATTATCGATCAATGATAAGACAACCAATGGGAATCAGATTAGGAATACAAAACACAAGAAGTGCCAAAGTACAACCAGGTCACTCACCATTGGCATCATCAAATTATTTAGGTAAACTCTGGTTTGAAGGGGAAGGGGTCCATAGACATGGCTGAGAGTCCCGTGACACCCCTGTGTACTATCTTGCCCTAATGGTTGCTGTCACCATGGAAGAGGTGGTCCTTCCAATTTAACATGAAAAATTTCAACCACTTTGGAGTGATGAGTACTTTGGAAGACCCATTGAAAGAGCCACAAACATTGTGCCATGCATGAAGCTAAGCTTTTCATTCGGAACAATCTTCTTGCAATCTTCTTGAGCAGTTGAGAAGCTGCTGTGTGAGAACTCGGTGCATTCTTCTCGTTTGTTTAGACATCCTGCACCGAGCATAACTCAAAACAATACAAAATGCAGTCACCAACCCAGCAAACTGTATGAAGCAGCAGTAGGAAGAAGAGGAAGAGCAGGAGAGGCAACCGAGTGGGTCCTCATGGAAAGCCACCCCATGTGCATCTCTTGCTCTGCCCTTTTTTTCTTCTTCTTTTTTGTGTGGGTGTGTGGCTTGGCTTGGCCGAGAAATGGTGGCTGTCACACCGCATTGCAGATCTAGTTTAGGAATCAATCCATTCATCACATCACATGATCACCCCAACCCTGTGACTGTCTCCTGTCCCCCTCCACCAGCCCCATTTCAGCTGGTACTTGTTCTCTTCCCCCATCCACCTTAATTGTGTTTCATCTGACTCGATACTCACTAGGAAAAGCAGCAGCTCAGGTTAAACACATACTGGATCGAGAAGGGAAGAATTCCATCATACTGTGGCTGCTTTAAGTTTGGATTAAGAGAAAATTATTGAGGCATGATTTATATCAACAGTATTTTACCTCAAAGATGCAAACATGAAAAAACAATAATAATAGAAGAAAAAAAATGGAGGAGTATATTCTCATGAGTGGCTTGTATGACCCACAAAGGAAAGAACAAAAGAGTAGGTCATGGCCATGCCCCTTCTAGAGCTGTGTAACATGGGCATCATCTATCATGAAGTGGAGGAAAGGAGTTGATATATGTGGATTTAAAAAGGCAGGGCAGAGGCAGGAGGAGTTTGCAGCTGCTTGACATAGTTGAGGTTTCTTGGGTGCTGCATAAACATTTAGGATTTGGAGCAAAGCTATGAAGATCTTGTTCCAGTGTCCCTGCTGCTCTTGCTTCTGCTTCTTGACCAAAGATAGCAAATCAAAGGAGGCTGAAGGAAAGGAAGACTGAGAGCAGTGAGTTGCTGTACCCTTTGTTTGGCTTCAGATTATGTAAAAAAGCAAATGCTTCAATCTATGGATTTATATTACTAAAGTTCCTGAAAATTATTCAGGTTTTATATTACCTTTTTGTCTTTCTCGATGCCTTTCTTGTGTGAAATGCTGCCCCC